CTTGGGAGGCTGAGGCAGGAGAATCGCTTGAACCCAGGAGGTGGAGGTTACAGTGAGCCAAGATCATGCCACTGCACTCCAGCCTGGTGATAGGCAAGACTTCATCTCAAAAAAAAAAAAAAAAAAAAAAGATACAGAGGATAATTTGTCTCTTTAAACTGAGTCTATTTAGAAGAAAGATAATATGGATATTCAGCAAGGGGGAAAAATGATATTCTGGGTTTTATTCCCAAATTAACAATTATTTGAAAATTTAGCAAAATAAGCTCTTTTTAAAAAGTTTATTTAAAATGTTTTTACTCTTGTTAGAGTATTGAGATTTGTTGTGAGTTAATACAAATAAGATTAAATGAGGCCGAGCATGATGGCTCATGCCTGTAATCCTAGCATTTTAGGAGGCTGAGGCAGGAGGATTGCTTGAGGCCAAGAGTTCAAGACCACCTGGCCAACATAGTGAGACCCAGTCTCTATTTAATTTTTTTTTTTAATTTATAAAAGATTAATGACACCAGGTGAGGTGGCGCACGCCTGTAATCCCAGAACTTTGGGAGGCTGAGGCAGGCGGATCACCTGAGGCCAGGAGTTTGAGACCAGCCTGGCTAACGTGGCAAAGCCCCATCTCTACTAAAAATACAAAAAGTGGTTAGATATGGTGGCACATGCCTGTCATCCCAGCTACTCAGGAGGCTGAGACAGGAGAATTGCTTAAACCCAGAAGACAGACGTTGCAGTGAGCCCAGATGACACCACTGCACTCCAGCCTGGGCGACAGAGCAAGACTGTCTCAAAAACAAAAACAAAAACAAAAACAAACCAAAAAAATCACTATTTTGTAGCTTCAAGACAACTTAAACAAATTGGTTTTATCTCATATTTTGTTAATAATTCTGACCCTCTCTGGGCTCCGACCTAGTTCGCGGCGATGTGGTCAAACGCACCAAGAAAGTCGGGATCGTAGGTAAATACGGGACCAGCTATGGGGCCTCCCTCCGAAAAATGGTGAAGAAAATTGAAATCAGCCAGCAGGCCAAGTACACTTGCTCTTTCTGTGGCAAAACCAAGATGAAGAGACGAGCTGTGGGGATCTGGCTCTGTGGTACCTGCATGAAGACAGTGTCTGGCGGTGCCTGGACGTACAATACCACTTCCGCTGTCACGGTAAAGTCCGCCATCAGAAGACTGAAGGAGTTGAAAGACCGGTAGACACTCCTCTACTCTTTGAGACATCACTGACCTACAATAAATGGGTTAATTTATGTAACAAAAAAATAATAATAATTCTGATGTGGAATACCCAGAAATTTAGACTTTGCTCTGACTTCCTCTACTGATATACTATGAAAATCAAATGAGTCATTTCATATAAAATATCAGTGCATGGCATATAGTAAGTACTCAATTTTTTCAAATTCATTTTGTGCATATGTTATTAGAGTCTTTTGTTTCTTAATCAGTCAGATAAGAATGACAAGTCATCAAATACATTTTTGCTCTTTGCATGAACCCTAAAAAAAGATTAATGCAACTTTTCAGATCATACACAAATCAGTTAAAATAATGCCTTATGTTTTCAATATGTATTCTAATATGCCTGTACTATATTTTCTGATATGCCTGTACTATATTGTTTGTTCCTCTGATTTTTTTTTTTTTTTTTTTTTTTTTTTTGAGACGGAGGGTCTCTGTCACCAGCCTGAAGGCTAGTGGCACAATCTCAGCTCACTGCAACCTCCGCCTCCCGGGTTCAAGAGATTCCCTTGCCTCAGCC